GAAATGTATGCAGGGTGGGGTGGGGTGGGGATTGTTGTTTTTGGTTGGTGAGAGTGGGGACTAGTGGGAAAGAGAGAGTGAGAAAGAAATAGCAACCACCTAAAATAAAATTAATGAAAGGATGCAATTCTGTAGAAGATAATTAAAATACATGACAAATGTAATCCTATAGAATGGGCCTTTGTGGGAAAGGAAAGATGGGAGGGGAGTCCGTTCCATGACTCAAGCATCCTCAGTATGCCACACTCAGCCCCATCACTAGTCCTTGAGTCAATTAAAGCTTTTAACCCCGATCGGTTTTCTCCTAGCTCCCCAACTCATAAGAGCTTTACTCCAACAGATTTCCAAACATGGATATTTTTTAAACAGACAAGAAAATATTTCTAGTCTGCCACATTATACTTCATCACCTGCCAAGTTCATTAGAGTTTACAGTGTCACAAATTATCTTGCAAGCTAGTCTCCAGTTTGGTGTATTTGGAGCTCAGATTTCTCTCAGGAACTTGACACCAAAATATCCTACTGCTTATTTGCCATTTCTACTTGTTTTCTAGGTATTTCAACTTTAAGAATTCTAAAACTCTTGGATTCTCTCCAAAATTCACTTTAGTTCCAGTAGTACCCATTTCCGTGAATAGCATCTCTGTTTACCTTAATGACTTAAGAGTAACCTTTGACTTCTCTTTTCATTTACTACAGTCAATCTATTTTGAAGTTTTATCCATTTTTGCCCTTTAAATATTTTTCAAATCCATTTGCTTCTTAACCACTGTGCCTGGCCAAGCCACTATTTTTAAGTGTAGCAGATACTGTTGAGATTAATATATTGCAATTTTATTCAAAGGCATTATTAATTTTATGGTAGGATTTGCAATTATATATTTTCTCGATTAATACCAGAATTTTAGCTACTGTCAGGCAGAAGTTGTGAATTATTTGATGACAGAAGAGCTCTTTCACACACTGGTGTACTAAAGACATTTGGACACATTGGTGTTGTAAAGGGATACAAGAACTGAAAGCAGGGTACAAGGTAAAGTGCAGAGAGGAAAATCAGTGGTGCAGAGTCCCTGACATAATAAAATGGTTGGGGAGATGAGATGTATAAAGTGGAAAGATACTGAATAGGCTACCAATGGGAAATTGAATGAATGGCAGACAGTAAGGACCAGAAATTGTTAGACATGTAAGGAAACACAGTTGACGGAGAAGGACAGGGCAAGCATCTTGGGGAAGCAGAAATAGCCAATTAGTGAATCAGAGAGTTGAGTAGCCAGAGGCAGGCAGGAGTCCAGAAAGCACAAGAATAGGCACAAGAGAAGCTTCATTTCTGATCCCCGTGTCAGATTCCCTGAATCAGAAGTTCTGGGGATGAGGGTGGAAAATCTGCACTCTTCACCAGCTCCCAGGTCATTTTAATGTAGGGGTTGCCAAATAGCAAACCTGGAGAGACACTGCCTTATATGCTCACCTATGTGTTCTCCCTTGATAACTCGAACTGCCTTTTCCCATTTTCTTTCCTTTATTCTAAGCCTGATCTCCCGGGTATCTTCCTAATGAAAGGCAAAAGATCTTGGGAAATAAAAAGACAGAGCAGGCAATATTTCCTTTGTGAGAGACAGGTAAAATGAGATGCATAATTTCATTTTTAACATCCCTCTAGGCAGAAAGGTGATTTCACTTAAAAATTGTTTTATAGATTCTTTTGGTATGTTTTACTGACAAAATAATTAAGTTGGATCTAATTAAAAGTAAATAAATCGCTCACAGAAGCTGGATGAATCAGTGCTGAGCTGAGAGGTGATAAAAGCTGTTCAAAGTTCATGAAGCTGAAAGCAATTAAAAGACAATAGTACACACCGACTGACTCAGTTCACCTCAAATGTACGCATGATCCGTGAGTTACATACCAATGAGAACACCCTGGAGGAACCGAGGTGGGGGCAGACATGGAGCAGGACCTGGGAAATTTTGGAGCAGCTTCCTTAACGGACTAGGCATCTGGCTTAGCAGAGAGAATGTAGCACCAGATTTGTGAAATGGGGTGAGAAAAACTGATACTAGAGTGGCTGCCTTCAGAATTTTCCTAGGGAAGGAATATTCTTTTAATCAGCATTTGGGGTAAAAGGCAAGGGGACAAGAATTAAGGAGAAAAGGAAAAGGGGAGGGAAAGGGATGGTAAATTAGCTGGCAAAAGCATGAGAAATAGAGATAAGATGGTAGAAGGTTTGGTGTCTGTGTTGGCAGAAAAGGGCAGAGAGTTTTTTTTTTTAAGTCAATATTCACTTAGAAATATGTAAAATATTATAATATGATATAATGTCCTTCCATGTTACTTTAAAATTGTTAGTGAAACTTCGCAAAATAGAGTTGTCAACTATGAAAGGTATCATTTGATTGGGGGTCTAGAAGTCATGAAGGAGGGGCTGTCCCCTTCTTTGGCTTCAGGCCAAAGGGAAATGATTAAAGAAAAGCCACAGTAAAGAGTGGAGAATGAGAAATACAGAAAATTCTGGAAATCAGAATCAGCGATGGCTGGGAAAAACATAAGTCCCAGAAGAATTTTAGAAGTTGTGGGGTAAGTGGCACTGGATGTTCCTTAGGATCTGGGTTGGGGATTCAAGCGATTTCTTCTAAGCGTTAAAGGACAAGGTAAGCCAAGCCAAGATATCTGGCTTCTATATCCCACTAACCAGCTGTGTAGCCATGGGCAAGTCATTGTTCTCCTTGGGCCCTAGTTGCTTCCCCTGTAAAATGAGAGAACTGAACTAAGTAATCCTTAAGGCCCATATACATCTCTAGCACTTTCGTCTCAAGTTTAATTCTCACCTTGACTTCTGTGAAGTCCAGGGGGCTGCGTGACCACGATAAGAGACCTTTCCAAAGGGCAGACTATTTCTTCCCCAAACGGCAGCGTGGACTCTCCATAAAAGGTAAGTGATCTTGCAGCACATAATTGCAAAGTGGCTGCTTCTTTCTCTTTTCAGAAATGGAGACCTTTTCATTCCTCTGTTTTGTCTGAGTTCCTTTCTCATATGTGCTTTGGGCTGGACATTCTCACACTTCCAAAAAATAACAGAACCCTCTCAACTTTATTTTTCCTCTTTTATTAGATTAATAATAACAAGATTCTCAAAAGGTCTCCATGTTTCAAACTTCTAGTCCCAAAGTAGGGAGGAATTTCAAGAAGGATTCAACTGTCTATTGAACATTGCCCCTTGGATGTCTCCCGAGAACGTCAATCTCAGTTTGCCTCCAAACAGCCTCAGTATCTTTACCCCTACATCTGCACTTGCCCCCTATTACCTTTCTCACGGAATGGCAACCCAACCCTTTCGGTTGTCCAAGCCTTTGATTCCTCTCTCACCTCTCATATCCAATCAATTATCAAGTCCTGTTGGTTGTAACCCATTACATGTGTGTCAGTTTGCTTCACTCTCCCCTGGACCCATTGCCACACACCTGTCCAGGCCACTCTCATCTCTAACTGTGCTTACTTGGACTCATCATTTGTCCCTCTGCTGCCAGTTTTGCCCCCCTCTGTTCTCTTTTCCACAGTGAAATCAGAAATACGCCACCAAACTCTAGATTGATTCATGCCATCTCCTTGCGTAAAACCCTCTCTGATTTCAATTTACCTCAGACAGCATAAGGAACAAAACTTTAACATAATTTACAACTCCTTCCCCTCATAAACTAGACACAGACTTTCTTCCCAGCCCTGTCTTTTGTTATCCTCTCTTTCACATTCTAGTCATAAGGAAATTATTTTATTTTGTGTCCATCTTTCTCTCCCACTGACATACCATCATTACTGGCACGCTGTAACCCACTTCCCATGCTCAGAAAGCCTAGCTAATTTATGATTGAGGGGCTATGCGTGTGCTCCACGGTACTCTTCCTTATCCCATTTTAGCCCTTAGTTCTGGGTAGTGAGCCTCTGTACAAGTCTGGATTGAGGGATTCTACAAGGCAATCACCCTTCTACCCCAGAGCTGCCTGAGAACAGTCACTACTCTACCCTCTACAGTGCCTCCTAGAAGCAGTCACCCCCTTCTACCATAATGTCTCCTGGGAGCAGTTACTCTTCTATCCCAGTGCCTCCTGGGATTAGTCACACCTCTATCCAATGCCTTCTGGGAACAGTCACCCCTCTGCCCCAGTGCCTCCTGGGAGCAATCACCCTTTCATTCTAATGCCTCCTGAGAACAGTCACCCCTCTGCCCCAGTGCCTCCTGGGAGCAATCACCCTTTTATTCTAATGCCTCCTGAGAACAGTCACCCCTCTGCCCCAGTGTTTCCTGGGAGCAGTCACCCTTCTATTCTAATACTTCCTGGGAGCAGTTACCCCTCTGCCCCAGTGCTTCCTAGGAGCAGTCATCATTCTATTCCAGTGCCTCCTGGGAGTAGTCACCCCTCTCCTGAGGGCCTCTTGGGAACAGTCACTACTCTACCTCAGTGTCTCGTGGGAACAGTAACCCCTCTACCCCAGTACTTTGTGAGGTCAGTTGCCACTCTATCCCCCAGTGCTCCTGGGAGCACTTACCCCTCTACCCTATTGCCTTGTGAGGACAGTCATCACTTTACACCTCCTTCCTAGGTACAATGACTGACACTAAGAAATACTTCACTTATTTGATAAACAAAAACAATAATTTGTAATTTAAAATTATTTTAAAATATTTCAAAGAACTTTATTTCTGTTATCTCATTTCATTCTCCAAATAATCCTATGAGGTAAGTTGGGCTTGTATTGTAATGGTTCTTTTCAGCCGTAGGAATTAAATTCCTCAAAGTCTCCAGTTAGAAGTAACTGTACTTAAAGAACTTGAGAAATCATAATAGAAGTTCTCTGTTTTTGGACCAAATTTTGGGAGTATAGCAAAAAACATTTTAAGCAAAACAACCAAGGCAGCATGCGAAATAACGTCAATATAAATGACACTTATTAATGTAATTAACAATGTTTATGATGCAATTTCACTTGGCACCTCCTCCCCAGAACTTTTTAATGCTTGTCTCTCCTGACACAAGAAACTTGAAATTAATTTTGTTTGTAGCTAACATCTGTTATGAAATATTAAACAAAAATTATTTTGATTGTATGAATCAGGGCTTTTGGATTTTTGGCTCCTTTGATCTGAGGGAATTATGAGAAACTGAATTTTTGAGATTGGTGAATTATTAGGGAAGTGTTTTGAAAGTACTTTCCCATTACACAAGATTACAAGTTCTTAACTCTGCTCAGGAGAATTTCTGGCCAAGATACTTGTAACAGGATGCTCTCCTATGTCTCAGGAAAGGCTTTCCCAATAGAACCAGGGTACACGTCTAAGGACACAGTTCACCTGCTTTCAATATTCTTTATCTTTTAATAGTAGTTTATACAATCTCTATTTTCTATATACCATTTTTATTCTTACCTAACCCTTTAGTTGCCTCTTTTCCTAAAAATGACTTGATATTTGCATATCCCAGAACTGAATATATACTGGAACTGAAACTGTCTGGGTCAACTAGAAGATCTGCAGAAGTAAATTTGTTCATACTGGATCTTCATATGTGATGAAATTGTGGTTTGGAGGATGTGATTGTGGCTAATTATTACTTTTTCCATATATTAGAGATGAATCTGATTGCCCTTTCTTCTGAAATATTTATAATAATTTATAATGTATATTATTACCTATAGGGGTAACTTGGAGATTGTGGGTTTGGTTCTAGAATACAACAATAAAGTGAATGTTGCAATGAGGTGAGTCACATACGTTTTTTTAGTTCCACAGTGCATATAAAAGCTATGTTTATACTATACTGTAGTCTATTGTGTGCAATAGCATTATGTCTAAAAAATACATAGCTTAATTAAAAAATTCTTTATTGCTAAAAAATGTCAGTCATTATCTGAGCTTATACAAAGAGTTGTAAACTTTTTGCTGTTGGAGAGTTTTGTCTTGATGTTATTTGTTTTTTTCTTTTTTAGGCGGAGTCTCTCTCTTGTCACCCAGGCTGGAGTGCATGGTACGATGTTGGCTCACTGCAACCTCCACCTCCTGGATTCAAGAGATTCTCCTGCCTCGGCCTCCTGGCTCGCTGGGACTAAAGGTGCCCACCACAACACCCAGGTAATTTTTGAATTTTTAGTAGAAATGAAGTTTCACCAAGTTGGCCAGGTTGGTCTCAAACTCTTGACCTTAGGTGATCCATCCACCTTGGCCTCCCATAGTGCTGGGAATACAGGTGTGAGTCACTGCATCTGGCTTGTCTTGATGTTATGGGCTGTTGACTGATAAGGGGGGTGGTGACTGTAGCCTTATGAAATGTATTTATTTAGTCATAAGACTTGAAAGTTGAGATTACTCCTTCATCCATAAACTACAGAATGAATGTTATGTTAGCATGCATGAAAACAACATTAATCTCCTTGTACATTTGCATCAGAGCTCTTAGGTCACCAAGGGCAGTGTTAAGGAGCAGTAACTTTTGTTGTTGTTATTGAGAGACAGGATCTTACTTTGTCACCCAGGCTGGCGTTCAGTGCCATGATCATAGCTCACTGCAGTCTTAAACTCCTGGGTGACCCTCTCACCTCAGCCTCTTTAGTAACTGAGACTACAGATGTGAACTACCATGCTTGACTTTTTAAAATTGTTTTTAAACTCCCAAAGAGTTGGGATTATAGGCATGAACCACTGTGCCAGGCCAAATAGTAATCTTTTGAAAAAAAATTTTTATTTTCTTTTTCTGAGTAGTAGGTCTCAACAGCGGGCCTAAAATATTCAGTAAACCATGCCATAAACAGATGTGCTATCCTCTAGCCTTTGTTGTCCTAATTTACAGAATACAAGCAGAGTAGATTTAGCATAATTCTTAAGGACCCTAGTATTTTAGGAATGGTAAATGAGCACTGACTTCAACTTAAAGTCATTAGCTGCATTCTTCTCTAACTAGAGAGTCAGCCTGTTCTTTGATATTTTGAAGCCAGGCATTGACTTCTCTCCAGCTATGAAAGTCCTAGATGGCATCTTCTTCCAATATAAGGTTGTTTGTCTACACTAAAAATTCATCTACACTAAAAGTCATTGTTAACGCAGTCACTTTTACCAATGATCTTAGCTAGATCTTTTGATGACTTGCCACAGCTTCTACATCAGCACTTGCTGCGTCACCTTGGAGTTTTATATTATGGAGATGGCTGTTTTCCCTCAAACCTAATGAAATAATCTCTTCTAGCTTCCAACATTTCTTTCTTTTATCGTTTTGTGTTGTTTTTGTTTTTGTTTTGAGACGCAGTCTTGCTCTGTCGCCCAGGCTGGAGTGCAGTGGCACAATCTCAGCTCCCTGCAAGCTCCACCTCCCGGGTTCATGCCATTCTCCTGCCTCAGCCTCCCAAGTGGCTGGGATTACAGGTGCCTGCCACCACACCTGGCTAATTTTTTTGTGTTTTTAGTAGAGATGGGGTTTCACTGTGTTAGCCAGGATGGTCTCGATCTCCTGACCTTATGATCTGCCAGCCTTGGCCTCCCAAAGTGCTGGGATTACAGGTGTGAGCCACCACACCCGGCCTTATCTTTTGTTTTCTAAGACAGGGTTTTGCTCTGTTGTCCAGGCGTGACCAGGAGCTGAGGTACCATCTCAGCTCATTGTAGCCTCAAAATCCCAGGCTCAAGCAATCCTCCCACTTCAGCCTACCAAGTTGCTGGGACTACAGGTGCAGGCCACCATGCCTGGCGACTTTTTTTGTACTTTTTTTTTTTTGTAAAGATGGGGGTCTCACCATTTTGCTCAGGCTGGTCTTGAACTCCTGGGCTAAAGCAGTCTGCCTACCTTGGGCTCCCAGAGTGTTGGGATTACAGGTGTGAGCCACCATGCCCAGTCCCAACTTTTCTCCTGCAGCTTTCTCACCTCTCTCAGCCTTTATAAAACTGAAGAAAGTTAGGGGCTTGCTCTGGATTAGGCTTTGGCTTAAGGGAGTGTTGTGACTGGTTAGACCTTCTATCCAGCGCTAAAACTCTCTTATCGGCAATAAAGGCCCAACCTTCTATCCAGCTCTATAAAACTCTCTTCATATCGGCAATAAGGCTGTTTTGCTTTCTTACCATTTGTGTATTCATTGGAATAGCACTTTTAATTTTCTTCAAGTACTTTTTCTTTGCATTCACAACTTGGTTAACTATTTGGTGCAAAAGGCCTAGATTTCAGCCTATCTTGGCTTTCAACATGCATTCCTCACGAAGGTTAATCATTTTCTAGCTTTTGATTTAAAGTGAGGGACATTAAACTCTTCCTTTCACTTGAACACTTAGAGGCCACTATAGGGTTATTTATTGGCCTAATTTCAATGTTGCTATGTCCCAGGGAATAGGGAGGCCCATGAAGAGGGAGAGATTGGGGAACAGCTGGACAGTGGAGTAGTCAGGACACACACATTTAGAGATTAAGTTTGCCACCTTACATGAGGGGGTTGGCAGTGCCCCAAAATGATTACAATAGTAACATCAAAGATCACTGATCACAAACCACCATACCAGGTGTAATAAATGACAAGGTTTAAAATATTGTGAGAATACCCGGAATGTGACCCAGAGACACAAAGCCAGCACATGCTGTTGGAAAAATCGTGTTGGCGTCTTACTTGATGCAGGGTTGCTGCAAACAATTTGTAAAAAACACAGTATCTGTGAAATGCAATAAAGGAAGTTCAATGAAGTGAAGAGCAATGAAACAAGGTTTGCCTGTGTTATTATATAATTAACATGGACGTAATTTGTAATAACAAACAATAAAAATGAAGAGAGGTTAAGTGGTTTAAGGTTGCAAGAATAGTCAGTAGTAGAGTTAAAATGAAGTCCCCAGTGCGTAGCGCAGACACCTTGGCTCTTGATTTTTCTACCTCAACGTGAACCAGAATTCCAGTTTGGTTTACCTCCGTAGCCTGAGACATTTGTGATTGCCCTGATTAGTTTGTTTAAAAATAACCTTTTTATTTTGAAGTAATTTTAGGTTTACAGGAAAATTGCAAAGATAATACAGAGAGTTCCTTTACCTGAGATTCTCCTAATCTTACATAGCCAGGATACATTGGTCAAAAACTAAGAAATTAATATCGATACAGGACAATGAACTAAACAACAGACTTTATTAAGATTTCACCTGGGTGATTTTTTTCACTTCTTAAATTAGAAAGCATTTCAAATTAGAGAAAAGTAGAGACTGGCCTTAGTGTCACAATGACACATAGGCCTCAGGGCACGAAAAGACTCAATGAGTTAAAGATTTGTGGACTGTTGGTTTGTTTTAATATTTCTTTATTCTTTTTTTTTTTTTTTTTTTTGAGACAGAGTCTCGCTTTGTCACCCAGGCTGGAATGCAGTGGCTCTGTCTCTGCTCACTGCAGTCTCCACCCGGCAGGTTCAAGCAATTCTCCCACCTCAGCCTCCCTTAGTAGCTGGGATTACAGGCACCTGCCACCATGCCTGACTAACTTTTGTATTTTTAGTAGAGACAGAGTTTCGCCATGTTGGCCAGGCTGGTCTCAAACTCCTGACCTCAGGTGATCCGCCCACCTCAGCCTCCCAAAGTGCTGGGATTACAGGCATGAGCCACTGTGCCCAGCCCTCTTTATTCATATCTGAAACAATACTGAGCAACTTTCTAATGTGAGTCACACTTCTTCTGACTCTTCCACTACAGTGGGATCCCCTGAATCTAGGACCCCCTGAGTTGATATTGCTGGACAGTGATCTAGCTTTTTAAGGCATGAACCCTGGGCTCTTGATGACAGCCAATCACAACTTTCTCGCTCCATTTCAGATGCTGAAGGGGCTCTCCGGTTATTATAAGACTCATTAAATTGCAAGAAAGTAAATTTCTCAACAGAGACTTTCCATAGCCATCAGACAATATCACATACTTTTTTTCCTTTATTGCAATATGCACATGTTATGTTCTGAATAGGGTCACACAAATCCAAGTACATCTTTCTGAAGAATAGTAGACCAAAGTTGTTAATCTGTTTTTTCTTATAGTAAAGAAAAGCCTATTAATATCAGATGAGTGTAAGAGAATCTATAAAGTCAAAATGACTAAGGATCTCCCATAAACAAGACCACAAACCCACAAAAGCAGAAACAGAAGAAAGAGAAGAGAAAAAAAAGAATTGGGAAGAAAGTAGAGACACAGGCTTCAGCATTTAAGTAGTCTTGTGGCTTGAATGGCAAAATGCCCGTGGAGACTTGGAGAAGCAGCACAGTGATAAATCAACCAGACACTACAAGCTTGAAGAAGAATGATAGAGTGCTGTCCCCTGGCTGGAATGCCTGATAGGGGTTGAGAGTTGCACATGCCTCCAGGAAATATCCACCTTCAGAAGACTTAGTCTCTGAGGTCTAATTTCCCCCTCTTCATTAAACCTCAATTATTGGCAAGAGACCATGGATGTCTAGAAAAATCATTGGGCATTGCTTTTTATATGCTCATCTGATTGAAGCCACTGAGGCAGACCCACTGACATTCCCTGGTGTCCAAGGAGGTCGAAAGCCACCGCAACATTTTTAGGGTGTCGTTGAGGTTTTGTTGTCTGATTTTTAAAACAAAACTAGCATTCTTTCTGGGGGTATTTTGGCTTGTTATTCTAATATAGGAAATTGAGATAAAAGTAAATTAACACGTATAGGTAGCTACACTCAACCCCCACCCCCTTCCAATCTCTAATAACTTCATTCTGTCCTTTCATGAGAGAGCCAAGGAGAGTGGATAATTAATTTCAATTTCCTCAATCTTTTTAGAGTTGTACAGGTGAGGATTTGGTGACTTTTTACATCTCCAATATAATGTTCTCTGTCACAAGTGCTTCTTAATTGTCCAGGCTATGGATATGACATCTAGACAGCTTTCCTTTCCTTTGGACCATTAGTAAGACAAATGGCTTTGCTGTTCAGCAGTGCGGGGTGGGGCTTTGTTGAGTTCAGAATCATGTAGAGAAGCCTCTGATGGGGGCAGAAGGCATGTACGGGTTTGGAATCTGTA